AAAATAAAGATTTTTAAATACAGCAAATAGTTCCAGAGGTGAACAGAAGATACTAAAACAAATCTAAAGTCAAACCAGAAAGATGGAAGGAAGAAGACAGAAAATAAATACTGAGAAGAACATGTAAAACAAAAAATAAAGCTGATGAGAATAGAGCAGAAAAGAATTCTCAAGTAGGGTGGAGGTTTGTAGAGGACCCAAAATCTAGAGACTGAAGCTAAACGTGGTTACTTGCAGATTTATTAATAATAAAAAAGGGCAACAGAAGCAAAAATCCACAAAACATAAATCCACAAAATCCACAAAAACTGAGAACCAGGAATCCTCACAACAAGGGGGCAAAGAAATGACCACAAACAGGCAACAGTGGCTGAGCAGGAGGTGCATATATGGGAAACAGAAACAAAGACCAGGCTGATCAGCAGACTGGGAGCAGCTGTGAACAGAGGAGACTAGAAGGAAGCTAGGAGAAGGAGACTGACACTAGAGGGCAGCAGAGGACAGACAAGAAATACCTAAGAACTCAAATATAATAAAAAATAACTAGAATAACACAGAATGGAAATAAAACCAATGAAAACTAAAGGATAAAACTTAAACAGAACCAAAACCATGACAAGTAACGAACAGAATTACTTTTATTGTCTATTCAGCTTCAGTGTCATAGAGCTAAACTAGTGGCCAGCCTGGAGTTTTTAGTTATGTCTAATACATAAACAATTGTTATCATCTATCATTTTATTATTCTTAACTTTTACTTAGGGGCTGCTCAGTGGGGCAGTGGGTAGAACTGCTGCCTTTAAGCAAGAAGGTTCTAGGTTTGATTCCTGGCCCGGGGTTTGCATGTTCTCCCTGAGCATGCGTGGGTTCTCTCCAGGTACTCCGGCTTCCTCTCACAGCCCAAAAACATGACTGTTAGGGTAATTGGCTTTACTAAATTCTACTTAGGTGTGAGTGTGAATGGTTGTTTGTCCCTGTGATGGACTGGAGACCTGTCCAGGGTGGACCCCGCCTCTCTACGACAGCTAGAGATAGACACCAGCACCCCTCGCCACCACAGCTGGGATAAGCGTGACAGAAAATGGATGGATAGAACTTTTACTGAGGAGCAATTAAGATCCATAACTTTTAATATGTCTCTAGGTATACAGAAAAATGTAGACTGTAATGAATGAATAAATGTGAATTTAATTAAGAGAATTTGACAAACAACGATAGATAAATCAACCAAATACACACAAAAAAAGAACAGTAAACATCGACCAAACCAAACACCAATTTCCAAACGAACTAAATTCACCTGAACATAAACAGAAACCAAACCGTCCACCAAATAAACATCTCGATATAAACAGCCAGAGAAATGACATACATTAATTATGAGGAGGATCAGTTTGATGATCTATAGTAGATTATTGTTGGTATTGTTCCTTTAAGCTAGGATTTGATGTTGGCATATGATATATCGACTCATAAATGAAAGTATTATATTAAAAGACTTTAATGACTGTACGCCCACCAGCTGTAATCTCCATCATTAGAAAGCACAATAAGCATAATATACAGGATAAAAATGGTGAGGAGCCTGAGGTGGGCAGGGTGCAGCTAAGGAATGTAGCATGTTTTATTTTCTGTGAGATGTTTACTTTCCTAGAGGCCTTTTTGCACGACAGCCAGCATGAAGGAAGCCGACATGAGATCAGCTCTTTTTCAGGAATGCAGCGCAGGAGCCGGTTTTGCAGAACATGCTTTAACAGAAGCCTGTTACCAGGGATATTCATCTGTCGAAGACTTTACTTCTGTTATCTCGGTTTATTAAGTGAAAACCAGTTCCTCTGAGCCCTCAAACACATTTCTAATGTTTTTATTATAATGGGCTATCCCACACACTAACTTTTCCATCTCTGAAAATATAAAATGATGTAAAATATCCAGCAAAGGCTGGAATAAAAGCTGATACACAGTTTTTTTTTCCCTGAACGTTTTCCTTTAAAGGTATAGTGGAGGATTTTCATGACTTTTTTAAAAGACCTGCCCTCTTCAAATTAGAAGAAATGCACATGCACAACCCTGTACCCGCTCTCGAGAGGGAATGCCTATTAGATGCGTGCGAAAGTGTGCACGAGCCCATCTCTCCTCGCGCATAGCTCATGCAAGGTTACTATGTCCGAACGTCCACCCTAACCCCTAAATCCCTCCATCACTATATAGAGTAGGGGTGGGTATTGCCAAAGAAGTCACGATTCGATTCGAATCACGATGCATCACGATACTTGAATTATTGCGATGCATTGCAATATTTTCTCCTCCATGTTTTGTTTTTGAATGGGTAGGCACAGTATCCCGCGGCCGGAAATGCTTGTTACACAAGGAAGCGTGCGTCAACACATTTGCAGCGACATCTACTGGACTAGGTTGTATTACACTCGTTTTTGGCTGATGTTCGCCAACCATGCATGCAATTTTATTTTTTTATTTTTTTAATTAATAATCGATACTTGGTCTCAAGAATCGATGCAGTAGATCACGAAAATTAGAATCATGATGCATCATCATGACGATTATTTTGCACACCCCTAATATAGAGCAGGGACTTTATAGTGAACTCAGTTAACTGACCGTTCAGACAGATGATCACTACTTTTTGCTCCGTTGGTCACGTAACTCCGCCTCCGCTACGCAGCGCCTGTGACGTCTTTGTTATTAGTCGCCGACAGCGGGCCGCTGTGAAAGCAATCTGCCTCTTCTGAGGCCTTTCAATTCTTCTCATACACTTCGTAGACACTTTTTCCTGTTACGAACCGCGGTGAGAAAGGTGAGCTTCAACGACCGTCTGAAACCGTAGCTCACCACAGATATACGCCTGAAAATGCGCTGAAAAAGATGGCTAACGGGACGATCATGTAGGACGGCCTTACGTAAACATATCACCAGAATGATTGAGCATTAGGAGGACCACTGATTGAGATGATCCACCCACTATACCTTTAACAGCAGGACATGAAACCAGATAAACTCCTCAGTAGAGACTGACATTTTTTCAGGAATCCTGTGGGATTCCCGTGGGATGGGAGTCAGTATCAGTAACGATCACGTGATTGGGACGGTACAGGATTAAACATTAGCGGGAGCAGACGGGAGCGGGAGCAAACCAATAGTAACTAAAAAAAACTAGGATCGATGCCAAAAAATAAAATAAAATACAAAGAAAAAAAATCCAGTACTGGTGCCGCTATTTTGTAGTTTTTTCCTTGAAGCCCACACTATAATGCGAGTCAAAAAAACTACACGACCCAAAAACCAACAGTGCTTCCGCTCTGAGATTTTCTCCCGCGCTCAAAAACAACAATGGAGGGACCAACAGTTAGAAACAGGAACTTAACTGATCCTTCATAGAAATTCAGATTCAACGTATTGGCAGGAATCTTATTGAAGACAACCAGAATGGGAGCGGGAGTCATTCTGAATGGGAGCGGGATGGGAGTGGGAGTAATTTCACCAGGAGTGGGACGGGACAGGATTTTAAGGAGTGAAAATCCGCTCCGTGTCAGTCTCTCCTCCTCAGTAAAGATTCACAGTGTTGCCAACTTAGCCACTTTGTCGCTTTATTTAGCGACTTTTCAGACCCCTCCAGCGACTCTTTTTCAAAAAAGTGACTAGCGACAAATCGAGCGACTTTTCTGGTGTCTGCCGTGCAGGGGCGGTTCTAGACAGGGGCCAATGGGGGCCAGTGCCCCTGTAGATCATGTCCTGGCCCCTGTACCAAAGAAAATACTCAAAGAGATTCTAATGATGATGCTCTTGAACAGACATGGTTCCTGATTGGTCCTTTGGATCTATTTCTTTTTTTTTTTTTTCTTTAAAATATTCAGTTTTACTAATTACTTTAAAACAATAAGGTGATAGTTTTTCCAGTTTTCATCTGCTAAATGTTTTTTTTTTAAACAAAAAAAATAATTTTTTACAGCTGAATTTATCAGTTTTTCTTGAGTTCTAATTCTGATTTTATAGAAAACTGTCATTCTAACTTAAATCAAGTTAAGAAAATGTAAAATTCCTAAATGATGAAGGTATATTGAACTATTGTTCCAAATAATAGCTTATTTGATCTTTTAGATATTTATATAGCTACAATTTTTTGAGTTGCTTTTTTTGCTATGCTAAGGGATTTTTATTTTAACGATAATTAACATTTTTAAGCCAAAATATAAATATTTTCAGTTGGAAGTTAGAATTTTAGTTAAACCGAATTGAATGGAAATTTCCCTTCATGCAGCTTTCTTGATATATTTGAATCCTTGCCCTGGTTTATTTTTTACTTCAGGCTTTTTGGTGCCTCCATGAAAACACCCCACCCTGCCCCCCTGGAACATTTGGTCTAGAACCGCCACTGCTGCTGAGGGGCGCCTCCCCCGTCCCAACCCTGTTCTCCCGCTTCCACAGGAGTCCTTCTCAACGCTGCAGTCAGAGCCACAGCATGTTTACCGTCCAGACAGCAAATGAACGGCGTGCATCCGCCGGGATTGACGGCGCAGGTTGATCACGCTGGAATCAGCTCCCTCAGTTACCTGCCATAGAGAAGCTTGACCAACATGACGATGACACACTGTTTCTGTGAGCAGGCGAGCACAGCCTGTGTGTGGAGGGAAATCTTATTAGTTAAAAAAACAATAATAACCATTATTTGCTCACATTGTCATTAATTCTTTGTAGCCTTTTTTGTTCCATTTAGATTGTTAATTTTTAAGCTCCTTAGTGGACCACAAGGGGAAAAAATAAAAAGTAAAAAATAAAAAGATTATGCAAATTAGGCAATGAGGTCATTCAGCGACTTCTAGCGACTTCTAGCCCGGCCAATAGGCACTGAGGAGTTGGGAACACTGCTCTGTCAGATAGACGCACATATCCATAAATCTAGCTTCATATAAACCCAAAACTTGCGGGTGTTCCTGTCACTAAACATGCTAGTTGACTAATTCCTGCATTCTGTGGATGTTCAGGCTTTAACTGGATGGTTGGCGTCATGAAGAAGATCATTGCAGAGGCCACCCAGATGAAAAATGAATCCAAGATGCCGCCATTAATGGAGTTCTTTGGACCAGAGGTCATGAAGGTACTAACTTCCTGCATTTTGCTTTCTAATTAAAACCCTGCAGTTAACTGTCAAATATTACTTTGAAATGAACACTTTAAGTAATCTGAAAGCAAAGTTTGAATTCTGGTGGATTGTGTGTTTTATCAGTGTGGGGAATATCTGTGTCCAATGGTTACCTGCAGAAGAAGCCAGACTGCTGTCTAAGTTTAGACTGGCTGCGTTTTTAACTATTTTGATTTCAGGGCATCAATGAAGCTCCGTCTCCAAGGTTTCTGGGAACTCACCTTCATCCAGACAACATGCCCCCGTCCTTCATCCAGAAGAAACCAAAGGTACATTTTCAGTCTGCTGTAAGAAGCCTTTAAATCTGTTGCATTTTCTTCTGTATTTAAACATTTTGTGCAACCTAAACAAGTCAAGTAGGACCCAGATAAACCTGATTAACTGAAACATGACCAGATGATAACACATTTGATTTATATTCCAAAAAAAAAATAAAAATCAATCCTCTGGACTTTGTTTCCAAGTCTGAAGACGTTTCTCTTCCATCCAGGAAGATTTTTCAATCCAAAATGTCAGAAATAGCGTTTAGTTCCAGGTTTTATCCAACAGCCCAACAAAGCCTGGTTTTAGTTTAGAAAACATGCAAATAGAAACGGATGAATGGGTCCCCCCCTTTGGAATGGGGGTGCGTGGAACTCATTTTGAATCGACAAAGCTTCCTGGATGGGAAGAGAAATGTCTTCAAACTTGGAAACAAGTTTTTCTTTTTTCTTTTTTTGGAATGACTATGACCTGTTTGACTGAGGATCTTCACCAGCAATTTGATTTATAGTAAATATTTTAAAATGAAGCAACATAAATTCAGGTCAGGTTCATAAAAACAGCTTTACTGATCATATTTGATCTCCTCTCCTAGACGGTGGTGGTCTTCAGAAACCCTAAGGACACCTTGGTCTCCTTCTACCATTTCTGCAACAACAACCCAGTCCTGCCCTCTACGTCCTGGGATTCTTTCTTTTCCAAATTCATGAAAGGAGACGGTGGGTGAAAAGAAAACTTAACCATATCTTAGGGACCATAGATAAAACATAGAATGGCTCTGCTGAAAGCCTCATTTTACACTGAATGTAAACTATAGGATCAACTGGAAAAACTGGAAGAAATTTGTTCAAATTAAAAAATTCAGCCTGAAGACTCAAGTTTGCTGTTCAACATTAGCAACTGTATACTGTTTATGTAATATCTGGGGTTAAAGAATAATGAAAGAACTAGATTAAACCAAGTAGTGCCATAATTGTAACATTTATCCTAAAGTCATTTCTGTGGCAAAAATCTTTCAGGGGTTTAGAAATATAACTGCATCACTGGTTCAGATGTTATTTAGTTAAATTGTACGCTTTACATTTTTTTTTTTTGCAGATTTTGTTCACTTGTGGCTCTGTGCTATACACATATTAAAACAATTTCCCACATTTGACTGGGACAGATTATGAAAAGTTATAAAAAACAAATAAATAAATAAAAAAAAACGGTGCATTCTGTAAAGCAAAGCTCTACTTAACGAGTCTGTGCAGCATCTGAATCAGAATCAGAATCAGAAATACTTTAATAATCCCAGAGGGAAATTACTTTTGTTACACGCTCTAGTTACAGTTTTACATGATATATACACACATCCAGCTATACAATATAATAAAGATAAAAAATAAGAATAAAAAGAGATAAAATATATACACATATAGCTCTTCTATATATATATCTGTACGTAAGATAGAAGATCTTACGATCTTAAGATCTAGAACCAGAACAGATAGAGAATGTTCATATATTACAAACATAATGAGATCTACGTCTAAAGAAAATAAAAACACAGCAATAAACGGCGTGGGACGGTTTCTATGCTGAATTAGGCAGAGCTATTAATAAGCATTTAGTTTTTTAGCTAACATTAGAGCAGCCTGACAAACATCTTGCCATCGCCATGACGAAGGCCCTTCAGGCTGAAATCAGTTAGCATGTCGAGCCTCAGGGCTGTTTTGGGCCCAATTTTGTTTTTACTGTATGTCTGTCCATTAGGAAAAATCCTTCAGAGATTTGATGATGTTTCCTATCATCTGTTTACTGATGATATCCAGTTTTACTGCTCTTTTTAAGTCCTCAGAGATCTAGAAGTTAAGCTCTCTGCTGAATTGTCCTGTGCATGTTAAATAATGGCTCAGTGCAAATTCCCTGCAACTAAACTCAGGTAAAATAGAGTTGCTGGTGATTGCCCCTGACGACGCTATTCCAGGTATCCACCAGTATCTGGGCGACTTGAGTTTGTCTGCTAAACCAAGCTTTAGAAAGCTCTGCCAGAGCATTGTCCTTAGAGCACCACTCCAAACTGCTGACAAGGAACTGTTTTTACCAACTGAGGACAATATCTAAACTTAAAACAACTGTGTCCAGAGATGATCTTGAAATTATTAGCTACGCCTTTGTGTCTTCCCGTTTAATTCAATTCTATTCAGTTTATTTCTATAGCTCCAATTCACATCATGTCATCTCAGGTCACTTTCCAGTTCACCAGATCATCCAGTCAGATTGATTCAAAGTTTTCTATCTAAGGAAAACCAGCTGATTGCATCGACTCATTGACTCTTCAGCAATCCCTCACACTAAGCATGCTTGTAGCGACAGTGGAGAGGAAAAACTCCCTTTGAACAGGAAGAAACCTCCAGCAGAACCAGGCTCAGTGTGAGCGGCCATCTGCTGAGGCCCACTGGGGTTCAAGGAGACAGAAGCAGACATAGAAAAAGAAGCATAGATACAAAAGGCAACCAGCTCCACAGGCGGCCCCGTCCAGGAAACACACAGCCAGGCAGACGAGCTCCGAGCCAGCTCCCATGTCAGAGGATGAAGAGAGCACATCCAGTTAGTCACAGTCAGAGAAACAGGACTACACTGGAAAACAGGCCAAGCTCCAACATCTAGAAACAAAGGTGTTGATGGCAGCAGCACAGCTGACTACCCAACTCTGATGACTAGCAGAGGTGGGTAGTAACTAATTAATTTCACTCAAGTACCTTTTATTTAAAAATAGCACTAGTTTAGACAACCGTAACAGTCTATTCTCTATAAAAGTCTATTCTTATGACTAAACAAAAAGGAGTCGTCTCGTCTTCAGTGGGTTCAGGTTCCTGACTCGTACTGACTCGGCTCATATTACACCGATTCCCATTCATGGTCTCTCGTACTCGTTACAGGTCCAGAACCCATTCATGGTCCCTCGTACTCGTTACAGGTCATGAACCCATTCATGGTCCCTCGTACTCGTTACGGTACCAGAACCCATTCATGGTCCCTCGTACTCGTTACAGGTCCAGAACCCATTCATGGTCCCTCGTACTCGTTACGGTACCAGAACCCATTCATGGTCCCTCGTACTCGTTACAGGTCCAGAACCCATTCATGGTCCCTCGTACTCGTTACGGTACCAGAACCCATTCATGGTCCCTCGTACTCGTTACAGGTCCAGAACCCATTCATGGTCCCTCGTACTCGTTACGGTACCAGAACCCATTCATGGTCCCTCGTACTCGTTACAGGTCCAGAACCCATTCATGGTCCCTCGTACTCGTTACGGGTCCAGAACCCATTCATGGTCTCTCGTACTCATTACAGGTCCAGAACCCATTCATGGTCCCTCGTACTCGTTACAGGTCCAGAACCCATTCATGGTCCCTCGTACTCGTTACAGGTCCAGAACCCATTCATGGTCCCTCATACTCGTTACGGTACCAGAACCCATTCATGGTCCCTCGTACTCGTTACAGGTCCAGAACCCATTCATGGTCCCTCGTACTCGTTACGGGTCCAGAACCCATTCATGGTCTCTCGTACTCGTTACAGGTCCAGAACCCATTCATGGTCCCTCGTACTCGTTACAGGTCCAGAACCCATTCATGGTCCCTCGTACTCGTTACGGTACCAGAACCCATTCATGGTCCCTCGTACTCGTTACAGGTCCAGAACCCATTCATGGTCCCTCGTACTCGTTACGGGTCCAGAACCCATTCATGGTCTCTCGTACTCGTTACAGGTCCAGAACCCATTCATGGTCCCTCGTACTCGTTACAGGTCCAGAACCCATTCATGGTCCCTCGTACTCGTTACGGTACCAGAACCCATTCATGGTCTCTCGTACTCGTTACAGGTCCAGAACCCATTCATGGTCCCTCGTACTCGTTACGGGTCCAGAACCCATTTATGGTCCCTCGTACTCGTTACAGGTCCAGAACCCATTCATGGTCTCTCGTACTCGTTACAGGTCCAGAACCCATTCATGGTCTCTCGTACTCGTTACAGGTCCAGAACCCATTCATGGTCTCTCGTACTCGTTACAGGTCCAGAACCCATTCATGGTCCCTCGTACTCGTTACGGGTCCAGAACCCATTCATGGTCCCTCGTACTCGTTACAGGTCCAGAACCCATTCATGGTCCCTCGTACTCGTTACAGGTCCAGAACCCATTCATGGTCTCTCGTACTCGTTACAGGTCCAGAACCCATTCATGGTCCCTCGTACTCGTTACAGGTCCAGAACCCATTCATGGTCCCTCGTACTCGTTACGGGTCCAGAACCCATTCATGGTCTCTCGTACTCATTACAGGTCCAGAACCCATTCATGGTCCCCTCGTACTCGTTACAGGTCCAGAACCCATTCATGGTCCCTCGTACTCGTTACGGTACCAGAACCCATTCATGGTCCCTCGTACTCGTTACAGGTCCAGAACCCATTCATGGTCCCTCGTACTCGTTACGGGTCCAGAACCCATTCATGGTCTCTCGTACTCATTACAGGTCCAGAACCCATTCATGGTCCCTCGTACTCGTTACAGGTCCAGAACCCATTCATGGTCCCTCGTACTCGTTACAGGTCCAGAACCCATTCATGGTCCCTCGTACTCATTACGGTACCAGAACCCATTCATGGTCCCTCGTACTCGTTACGGTACCAGAACCCATTCATGGTCTCTTGTACTCGTTACAGGTCCAGAACCCATTCATGGTCCCTCGTACTCGTTACGGGTCCAGAACCCATTTATGGTCCCTCGTACTCGTTACAGGTCCAGAACCCATTCATGGTCTCTCGTACTCGTTACAGGTCCAGAACCCATTCATGGTCTCTCGTACTCGTTACAGGTCCAGAACCCATTCATGGTCTCTCGTACTCGTTACAGGTCCAGAACCCATTCATGGTCCCTCGTACTCGTTACGGGTCCAGAACCCATTCATGGTCCCTCGTACTCGTTACGGGTCCAGAACCCATTCATGGTCTCTCGTACTCGTTACGGGTCCAGAACCCATTCATGGTCTCTCGTACTCGTTACAGGTCCAGAACCCATTCATGGTCTCTCGTACTCGTTACAGGTCCAGAACCCATTCATGGTCTCTCGTACTCGTTACAGGTCCAGAACCCATTCATGGTCTCTCGTGCTCGTTACAGGTCCAGAACCCATTCATGGTCTCTCGTACTCGTTACAGGTCCAGAACCCATTCATGGTCTCTCGTGCTCGTTACAGGTCCAGAACCTGCTCATGATCCCTTGTACTCGTTACGGGACCAGGGGAGATCGCTCCTTACAGGCGGTGGCGGTGGCGCTCTGGAACGATCACCCTCCCTACTTGCGCTTCCTTGACTTTGTTGATGTTTTAAAGAGCGCACTGGTCTTTCAGGTTTATTTTAAATGTTTTAATGTCCACTAATAAGCTGAATAATTTACATTGCAGCTTCTGATTCTTATAGCTCTAACTTCCACATATGAGGTCTGTTGTGTTTATGTCTTAAGAGAGTCAGTAACCAGCAGGCATTGGTCCTGGTTCACTTTAAAAACATAATCAGCTGTTTAAATATGGAGAGGTCTGCTGGGCTTTTAATGCAGCCGCAACCTTTAGAACGAGCCCTGCTATCAGAGGTGATTATCAGAGAACATACGTATGTTTAGTGTTTTATGATGCTTCTATCACACATCATTGGATTGTTATTAATATTTGTGCCTGTAGTTGCCTGGGGATCGTACTTTGATCACGCCTCAGCCTGGAACAAGAAGATGGACGACCCCAACATCATGGTGGTCACCTACGAAGAGCTGAAACAGGTCGGCCCCTCTGGTTACTGGACTGATTCTCTGAATTTATCCACTTAAATGAAAATCTGCTCATAGATGGTGTCTTCTGCCTTGTAGGATCTCAGCAAAGGCATCCACCAGATCTCCAGCTTCCTGGGCTTTAGCCTGACCGACGCTCAGGTGCAGCAGATTGCAGAAGCGAGCACCTTCAAGGCCATGAAGGAGAGTTCAGCCGACTCCCACGGAAACATGGGGAATGTCTTCTTCAGGAAAGGTGTCCAAGCTTCAAATCATTTTAAGAACTGGGTTTTGGGAGTAGAAATTAGTTATTTTCTTCTAGACCAGGGGTTGGCAACCCAAACCGCTCAAACAGTCATAATGGACCAAAAAACAAATCGGTTTGGAGACGCCAAAATATGAAAGGCTTCTATGAGCCACGCAACACAGGCTGTAAGTCCACTATAAGAAAGGACTATGTGGGCTTCAATATATAATAAGCATTCATGATTAAATGTTTATCCTGGAGCAAATGTAACATCATGTGACTCTGCTGTACGATATCTGGTGCTTTAAGTTTAAATTCCATAACAATATTAATGTTTTAGGTTTGGTTGCATTGATGAAACTATAGCAACACATTAAAGAAATCAGATTTTTTTATTGTTATTTTTGTTTTGAGAATTTGGGGGGGGGAATGGAAGAAAGTTCCCCTCCCTTCATCAGAGCACTACCAGTTCCTTCTGTGGACTTTTTTCATGCTTGCAACTTAACTAGCAGCAGACATTCTGCAATCGCACTTTTTCTCTCACTGCCAACTTGGTAGTCGGCTGCATATTTAGCTAGCCTGGTGAGACTATCCTGATCTCGCGACCTTTCAAGGTTTCACTCGCAGATCAGTCTGGAGACTCTCCGTTAAAGAAAATTTGGAGCCGTTCACCAAACGAACGTCCAATCAGCGTTGGCTTTGAGGCGGGTTGAGGTGTGACGCAACGAGAAGCGCCACAGTTCAGTCTAAAGAACATGGCGGCTTCAGCCGATGAAACTAGCGTTAGCGTGGCTATCGAGCAAGTTTTATCGGAATTACAGAGTATTTCTTCACTGAAAGAAGAGCAAAACACTGCTCTGGAGGCTTTTCTCAGAGGAAAAGATGTTTTTGCTCTTCTCCCGACTGGTTTCGGCAAGAGTAGCCTGGCTGGTGGTTGTGTTTTCGTCGTCGCTCTGTTAGTACGTCATATGCTTCGTTGATCTGATTGGTTTATTTGGCCCGTCTATCACCAACATAGGCCAATCAGCTAACCAGTATTTTCGCCCCTTCCCAAAATTACTTCAACGGAAGGTTTCCAGATGGAAATGCGGAGCAAATTCATCTGGCGGAGTCAATTTTTAGCATGCCTTCCCTGGAAATGCCTTTCCTAACACTTTTTATTAGTGTTGCACCGATACCAGTATCGGGCGGGGCCCCGATCCAGCTCTAAAATGGTGGTATCGGTATCAGCAGGTACCAACAAATAGGGCACCGATACCATTTTGAGAGCCAAAAGTTTCTTCAACTATTGTCGCCCATTTCAGGTAGGCAATAAAAAGTTCTACTGGATTCACTTTGCTTTAGTCTTTTTCCTGCTTCACAAAGGAAGGCAGCAGCTTGACATGAAGCCATGATGGCGATTATTTTACATCCAGGTAGAATGCAGTTCTTCATATATACACACACATCAATTTCAAACACATGGTATCGGCATCGGGGCCAAAGAATGGCATTAGTGCAACACTACTTTTTATTAATTGATAACTTCTCATTCCAAAGCAAACATGCAGGCAATCGTTCCTAATTGGTAATGAAAGCAAATGATTCGCTCCATTCATCTACGAATCCTCTGTTCTCATCAGCTATCTTCCTTTTTCCCCCTTTGGGATCCATGGCCAGAGACACACCCGCCGCTTTGTTTACAACAGCCACCTGCCTGGCACCGCTACACCGTTACTATACAACACTGGCCACAAGGAGGGCGCTAAAGAGCTGCATGCATCTTTGAAATAGATTAATTAATTGCCTGAACTTCTCAACCATTTAAGGGTAGAACCACAAAAAATCTGAGTTTTTAAACCTGAATTTATTTTCTAGATCATTCTTTTTAAGATAAATGGATCAATATTTTTTAAATGTCCGTCCCTAACTATAGATTATATGATATAATTAGAAAAATATATATGTTCTTAACATTGTACTTTTGTTTCCGTCTGCACAGGTGAGGTTGGAGACTGGAAGAACCATTTTACTCCAGAACAGAGCAGAGAGATGGATGAAGCGTTCAACAAACACCTGGCAGGAACCAAACTGGGAGCCAAACTGGATTACCAGCTTCACTGTCAGCTGGAATAAAGGAGGGAAGAGGAACAACTAGAGGGAAGAGGAGAAGAAGAAAAGATGCAGGGATTTAGGAGGGCATGATTACACAACTACCTTTAGTCTGAACTTTAGATCTGCTCTAATGTCAGCAGGACCTGAGAGACTTAACACTTTTATAGGAGAGGAGTGCAGAGAAAATCTAACTGGAAAATAAGAGAAAATGATGGTGATAAAAAATTATTGTGAACTTTTCAATAATCACTTCATTAAGAAATGTCTGATGTCACTGATTAAGCTTTACAGACTGAAAGAAATAAACTTTAATGATAAAACAATGATCAGAGCAGCAGTGAAGTTAAAGAAATGCTTGTTTCACAACGTTGGAACCTCCGTCCATCCATCCATCCATCCATCCATCCATCATCCATCCATCCATCCATCCATCCATCATCCATCCATCCATCCATCCATCCATCCATCCATCCATCCATACATCATCCATCCATCATCCATCCATCATCCATCAATCCATCATCCATCCATCCATCCATCCATCCATCCATCCATCATCCATCCATCCATCCATCCATCCATCATCCATCATCCATCCATCCATCCATCCATCCATCCATCCATCCATACATCATCCATCCATCATCCATACATCATCCATCCATCCATCCATCATCCATCCATCCATCCATCCATCCATCCATCATCCATCATCCATCCATCCATCCATCCATCATCCATCATCCATCCATCCATCCATCCATCATCCATCATCCATCCATCCATCCATCCATCCATCCATCCATCCATACATCATCCATCCATCATCCATACATCATCCATCCATCCATCCATCATCCATCCATCCATCCATCCATCCATCCATCATCCATCATCCATCCATCCATCCATCCATCCATACATCATCCATCCATCATCCATACATCATCCATCCATCATCCATCCATCCATCCATCCATCCATCCATCATCCATCCATCCATCATCCATCCATCATCCATCCATCCATCCATCCATCCATCCATCCATCATCCATCATCCATCCATCCATCCATCCATCCATCCATACATCATCCATCCATCATCCATACATCATCCATCCATCCATCATCCATCCATCCATCCATCCATCATCCATCCATCCATCATCCATCCATCATCCATCCATCCATCCATCATCCATCCATCCATCCATCCATCCATCCATCCATCCATACATCATCCATCCATCATCCATACATCATCCATCAATCCATCATCCATCCATCCATCCATCCATCATCCATCCATCCATCCATCCATCCATCATCCATCCATCCATCCATCCATCCATCCATCCATCCATCCATCCATCATCCATCACACTTGTACATGTCTAACGGTTTTAGATGAAGGGTTGTTGGTTCAACTCCCAGTGTCGTTGTGTCCTTGGGCAAGACACTTCTCCCACATTGTCTACTGATGGTGGTCAGAGGGACTGGTGCCACCTGTCTACAACAGGTTTGCTTCTGTCAGTGAGCCCCAGGTCAGCTGTGGCTACAATGTAGTTTGCCACCATCAGTGTGAATGGGTGAATGACTGAATGTGGTATAAAGCACTTTCATCAAGTCCTCTGACCTGGTTTATTGTGTGATTTTTTTATGTTATTCAATTTCAAATCAATTCAGTGTATTTCTATAGCTCCAATTCACATCATGTCATCTCAGGTCACTTTCCAGTTCAACCAGATCATCCAGTCAGATTGATTCAAAGTTTTCTATCTAAGGAAAACCAGCTGATTGCATCGACTCATTGACTCTTCAGCAATCCCTCACACTAAGCATGCTTGTAGCGACAGTGGAGAGGAAAAACTCCCTTTGAACAGGAAGAAACCTCCAGCAGAACCAGGCTCAGTGTGAGCGGCCATCTGCTGAGGCCCACTGGGGTTCAAGGAGACAGAAGCAGACATAGAAAAAGAAGCATAGATACAAAAGGCAACTGTCAACCAGCTCCACAGGCGGCCCCGTCCAGGAAACACACAGCCAGGCAGACGAGCTCCGAGCCAGCTCCCATGTCAGAGGATGAAGAGAGCACATCCAGTTAGTCACAGTCAGAGAAACAGGACTACACTGGAAAACAGGCCAAGCTCCAACATCTAGAAACAAAGGTGTTGATGGCAGCAGCACAGCTGATATTTCTCTCCAGGATGGAGTCACAGCCAAACAGGAACAGACCAGATGAAGCTACTATGAGAAAAAGCAGAGAGAGCAGAACGTTAGAGATTGAACTAACAGATTCTGCAGAGTGGGAGAATAGAGATAGAATGAAGCAGAATGATGAAAAAGGGGTCCCTATGTCCTCCAGCAGTCTAAGCCTATAGCAGCAGAACTATAGAGATAGATCAGGATAACCTGAGCCACTCTAACTAGAAGCTTTATCTAAAAGGAAAGTTTTAAGCCTAGCCTTAAAAGTAGACAGGGTGTCTGCCTCACGGACTAAAACTGGTAGTTGGTTCCACAGGAGAGGAGCCTGAGAACTAAAAGATCTGCCTCTCATTCTGTTATTTCGCTGGCTGTGCATAATGGATGAAATGCTCAACTGATGCTCCTACAATTTACACTGGGAAGTGGGGTGGCTAATGGGGTAAAGGTTTGTGTTACTGGCTTTTTTGCAACGTCCTGGCCACCCCCTGGTGGCGCCACTGCAGCTGGTTTACTACCTTAAACATCTTTTCGGTTGTGAAGCTACTTTTGTGGCCAAGTAGTGGGTAGCATGCACAGAAGTTTCAAACTAGATTTTCCCACATATTTCTAGATCTTTAACACATCTGTCATCCTCCTCTCCCAATGCACACATAGCAGGAGTATACCAGCCTTTTAACGTTGCATACCTATAGTCATGGTCCCTTCTCCACATCCAAAACAAATTTAGGGACACAAATGCAGCTACATTCAGGTATTTGCGGAAATTAACTCAATCAGCAAAGCTTCTCATAAAAACTCAGCTATATTCATGGGTTAGAAATGAATGAGGGACACTGGAAATGCCCTACAAAGATAGACAAGCTTGTCTTCTAAATGCATGTGTGTATTAAAGGAATGCATGCTGGGAAAGTTAGAAGGACAGCATTAGTCTGTGCAGGGATTTTTAAATGCTCAATTTAATTAGATAATTAATATTTATGAAGATGGTAGTAGTACATTTGCTGTTTTTAAGGCCCTTCTTACGACTCATCTTTTTCCTTGGCTTTTGGCACAATTTGAGAGGTTTTACTTTGTTTTATTCTTTTTGTATACTAATATGTATTTTACACTTGTTTTTTCTCTATTTTATAATTTTATTGTATTTTATGATTGTGTACAGCACTTTGGTCCTGTTCGGTGTATAAAGTGCTTCATAAATAAAGTTGGTATGGTATGGTATGGTATGGTACATAATGAGGCTAATATTTATTCTACTAAACAGACAGCTTCATAGCAATACTGCATAATCCAAGAATATACAGATCACTTTAGCTACTTTAAATAAATTAAAACAAAAAGCCCTGAGGTAGATCAAAGATTTAATTAAAACTAAAGGCTAATTTACACTTATTTGACTGACTCATTGATAGTTGCTGTATTAGTCTGAGACATGTTGATGTTGTTGTGGCTAAAAGATGCAATTTAATCCAAGATCTTAGAATTAAATGTTCAATTCATTCCTGAATAGCAAAGCTGGATTAGTCGTGTTGAATAAGAAGAGTTTGATAAACACTTGAATTAATCTCATCCGTCTGTAACAGTTTCTTTGATCACTAGATAACTTTGTCATGAAATTTTTGATGTCGTTAAGCTACCTTTGTCATTTTCCTGTAGCTTAGCTTGTACATAATGTGTAAAACTATCTTTAGTTCGGCCTGTACCCAAAAAATGATGGGGATGGGAAAATAAAACTCAATGTTATACAGCTGGTAAAAAGACTGATAGTTATTCAAACTGTTACATTGCAAATCATTAGTAAAATGTTTGCAAATGTTCAGAAAAGCAGCATAAACAAGTCACTCAACTCACAGTAGAGTTTATTCAGTGATCTAGTTTACCGTACACAAATATTACAACAGTTTCCACTTTCATACAGGAAATCAGCATCTTTTAGAAGATTTTCCAAGGACTATTTTAATTGATACAGTCAAACATGTCTCTTCTGTTACTCGGGATTTGAAGAAAAAAAAATTAAGCTATTCGAAACCATTTATCTGCTACCAAAAGAACAACAGCTCATTGACGAACAGATAGCACAGCCAATTTACTATTAAAACTGAAGAAATAAAAGGAAACGAAAGATAAAACCTTTCTTTAGAAATAAAACTTGCTTTTAGGGAAATATCTTTTATAAATGGCCTTCCAGCCTCTGTTAGATTACTTTTCTTGTTGGGATCTGGAGGCTTGCCCACCAGAGGGCGCCGAGGATCCCTTCCTGAGGGCTTGTGCTGACCTGCAACACCTGTCTTCCATCTGCTCATCAAGAGGACTCCTATTTAAGGAGGAGGAGACTGATACTCCGGCACCAGAGTGTTAGCCAGTAATGGTACAGCTAGACCTGAGCCAACCTGCCTGATCATATCTCTGTATTTTTCTTGTGAACCTGTCTGACCCGGTTTTTCTCCCTGTCTCTCAGAACCTGACTTGCCTGGAAACCTGTAACACTGAAGAGAGAGACCTCAACTTGGAATCTGCCTGCCAGCCCTCAGTCTCAGTCTCAGCCTCAGCCCTCTGCCTGCCGACTAGCCTCTGGACTTACAAGGTTCCCTTCCCCCCTGCAGATCCGAATCCTTTCTCTCAGCCTGAAACCTGCCTGCCTGCACTAAGTCTCCGTCTCAGCCTAGCCCTCAGTCCTCAGCCCACTGCCTGCCGTTAAGCCTCTGGACTCACAGGTTTTCCCCCAAGATCCAGCCGTGACCAGTCTGACCCCCCAGTACCTGTTCACATTTTATTTACACTAATTTCAATAAACCTTCTGAACTTTCTCCATACCTCCGTGTGTTTCTGCATATGGGTTAGACATCTTTATCCCATCATGACATTTCTGTTGTCTTATATTAATGCACCTGTCCCTTCATGGAGCATTAAGGTTCATAACAATCATAAATCTCTTCCTCACCTCTATAGTTTATATTCTCGTGTGAAATATTTGCTAAAAATAATAAATAGACTTATGCGCCTGGTAGAAGATCAGTCTGGATGAAAAAATAAAAGAAGAGCACACAACTTTTTTGTACAATATGTTTTTCTTAGTCCTCTCACTGCAAACACAGCAAGGATCACAGGGTATCACCGACAAAGAAC